GTGTAAAGCCTCTAATACTGCAATGCACAGTTTGGGTGGAACAACGACCCGGTCCCCACACAGCAAACAGCCATTAATAACAGACAATTCATCTCTCTTACAATACATTTTGAAATCAGACCCAACAGGCCCCTTGGGCCACCCCCTCCACACCCAGTTCAAAATTTGTTTGATGGTGGAGTCTTTTGCAGAGTGGCGGGCAACATCACTAGATGAGACAGGACCAGTCTCTAAGCAGTCAATAAGAAGAACTAGCATCTTGGGCAAGAAGTTCTAGAAGCAGGCAATGACTCAAAGTGTCGGCATGCCCCAAAGTGGAGCAAGGTTGGTAGATAGGTGTAGAGGCCAATAAAAAAATAGTCCATCTGGTCATCCATGGCGATAATGACACAGGAGTAGGTCGGTCCCCCAGCCAGCAAGCCCAGCAGGGATTCCTAGTCCGTAATTAGTTCGAAATCATGGCTGTAGAGGTACTCATGGAACCTTTTTACACCGGGCACAGCAGCCAAAGCCTCATGGTCCAGCTGGTTGTAGTTCCACTCGGCAGTGGATAAGGTCCTTGAATAATAGGGTATGGAAGCCTTGGTTCCATTGGGCATGCAGTGGCTGAGGATGGCTCCAATGCCAAACGGGGAAGCGTCACAAGTCAACACCAGTGGCAGGGTCTGGCTGTACTGCACCAGGAATGTGTCTGCTGACAGAAGTCTTTTTACCACGGCAAATGCGGCTGCCTTGGCTCTGCCCCAGGACCACTTTGCGTTCTTTGCCTGGAGACTATGTAAGGGCTCAGCAACAGTGGCTTTCTGTTTAAGAAAGACGCTGTAGAAATTAAGGAGCCTGAGGAATCCCTGCATTTTGGTTTGATTGTGAGGTGTAGGGGCGTCGTGGATTGCTTTAATTTTTTTAGTGGTTGGGCGAATCCCCAAGCCGTCGATTAGGTACCCAAAGAATTCAACCCTTGGCATGTTAATTTGGCATGTGTCTTTTTTGAGACGGAGGCCTTTGTCTTGAATTCTGGTCAAAACAGTTCACAAGCATTTGAAAATTTGCGCCTCATTTGCAGCCAATACCAAGACTCCTGGAATCCCCTGCAAAAGCTGTTCCATGACGCTTTGGAACAGTCCAGGGGCAATACTAACTTCAAATTGCAAGCAGTTACATTTGAATGCACTCCTGTGCGTCACAATGGTTTGGGACTCTTCCGTAGCGCCATCTACAGGCAATTGTTGGTATGTCTCCGCCATGTCCAATTCAGTGAATACTTTGCCAGGGCCTAAAGAATGTAATAAATGTTGTACAATGGGTACAGGGTAAGCACTTTGTTGTAACGCTTTATTGATTGTGCATTTGTAGTCCACGCAGATGCGGACAGACCCATCAGATTTGACAGGTGTCACTATAGGGGTCTCCCAGTGTGCGTGATCAACCAGCTCTAGGATTCCAGAGCTTACAAACTTGTCAATTTTCAGATCGATTTTGGAGCGGAGAGCGAAAGATACTCTCCTGGGTTTTAGCCTTATAGGGGCTATGTTGGGGTCCAGATTAAAAGAGATTGGAGTCCCCACATACTTACCCAGACCGGTGCCAAAGACATCCTCAAACTCCTTAAAAATTGCTTCGGCACTCTCGTCTTTCAAGGCGTTGATACCGGTCACTTCTAGGCCCAGGACTTCGAACCAGTCAAGCCCCAGAACGCTCTGCAGGTCGCTGGTGACCACCGTCACTGGGAGCTGGCTGCTGTAGTTCTTGAATTGCACCCAGAAGGTACCTTGGCCCACGATGGGGACTCGTTTCCCCTGGTAATTGTGAAGGCGGATGGCAGAGATGCGTAGATGCTGCTTCTTCAGGCTAGGGATAGCCCGCTTGAGTGTAGACTACGGTATGATGACCCCATGTTGATCTCAATTTCGCATGGAGAGCCCTTGATGAGGACTGTGACCTTCAGCTTTTATGGCCGCCTAGTGTGGACTTGGCCGATTGAGATGTGGTAGGTGACTCTGGTGTCACGCTCTGAGCGCCATGGTGGCTGCTGCCATGCCCCTTGGTTGGGCCTCTGCTGGCAGTTATATCAACTTTTGGGCTGCCAGGTCATCGTGGGGTGCTCACTTCTGCAAATCTTAGCGATGTGCCCCTTCTGCTCGCAGCGCTGGCAGATAGCATCGCAGAAACAGCAAGATGATCTGGCACGGTCTCCTCTGCAGCTTGCGCAAGGCAGAAAATGCGGTTCAAATTTGTGCACCGGCTTGACATGGCTACTGCGCATGCGGCAGCTGTCATCTTTGTCTTCTGAGCTCTTGAGCTCTTGGCCTCTGCAGCCTCATGATGTATGTGTGCGTGCCTTGTGGAGTGCTTTGGCACTGCAGAGTTTCTGTAGACTTAACGGCCAATTAGGATGCCCTGGCTTCGTCCAAAGCAATTTGTAGAGTGAGGTTAGATTTGGCAAGTAACCTCCTCTGTAAATTAATGTCCCGCACACTGCATATGATGCGGTCTAGTATACGTTCGTCTAGGTCTCAGAACTCGCAATATGCTGTGGCCTTCCGTAGCGCTGCAACATACTCATTGATCGATTTGCCTTCTTTCTGATTACGAATATTAAATTTGTGCTGGTGGATGTGCTTAGATGGCTTGGGAGCATAGTGTGGCCTCAGTGTCTGTTGGAGCACTAACCAAGCGACCGATTGTAGCAGCGTTGGCTCAGATAGGTCTTGGGCTGTTTCGAACACTTCCCATCCACAGTAATCGAGGAACATGTTCTTCTTTCAGCCTTCAGAAAGGTCCATGAGGTCATTGGCTTCAAGGAAGCAGTCGAACCTCAGCATATACCAGTGTTCAGTGACTGGGTTATATGGAGTCGGTGGGGCATACATGGCCATTTTGTGTTCTGAGGGCATTTTGAATTTGCCACTCAAAAATGGCTGCTCAAAGCCGTGCTGAGCTCCGGACTGGATTTACTTGCTGGATTGCTACACTCTTTTTGGTTTGCCTAGTTGCCTTCCAATCCCACCTTCGTCGCCACTGTTAGATCGGGTAATGGAAAAGCACACTCAGGCTAAAGACAACAACAGCTGTTTATTGTAACAAAGAAGTATGTACAATCCAGCGAAGGTTGAGTCTGACAGCAGCCCTTTTATAGGGAGCTGTCAGACCTTTCGACCAATGAGATTAAACCTCTGTTCCTGCTGGAACAGAGGACCTTGTTGGAAACCATTATAACTGTAGCTAATATATACCTTTTTGTTTAGTTGCTGTATCAAATCATACAGTAACAGAAATATGAATGACAGACTCAAATAATTCCTCTGTAGAAGGAATTATCAGTAGTTCCTGGGGGTAACTGAACTTCCGGAGCTGATGCAGGAAGAACATTTTGTGCCTTTTTAACGATGGTTAAGTGTCCATTTCAAATCCTAGGAGATTATAGAACCCCAAAATTTGAAGGATTCTACTGCTGATACCATGCTGTTGAAAATAGTAATAAATGGCAGAACAGGAGAGTTCCTTCTAAAATCCACTGTTATCTCTATAGTTTTAAGCATGTTCAGCTCCAGATTGTTCTAACTGCACCTCAGTGCCATGTGTTCAACCCCCGTCTATATACAAATTCAATATCATTTTGAATGGAACCAATGACTCTTTTTACACTTTTTACCTAAAAGACAAATTAAAGACAACATGAGAATGATTTTGAATACCTTGGAATACTATGAGGCCCATCCTGAAAANATTTTTAGTGTAGATAGAATAGATGGGGGAACGGAACGAGCGAGCTAGCAGCAGCTGATGATGGGCGGGGGAGCCAGCGAGCGCCAAAATAAAGCCGGAGTTTTTGAGAAGCAGGCGGGATACGGGAAAAATGATGAAAAATCGTGCCTGTCCCGCCAGATGCGGGACGTCTGGTCACCCTACCCTTGTACTGAGTCCCGAAGGCCTGATTCCCACCCCACTATGTCCCATACCTTCTTCGTCATTTATTTTTAAAAGATTTCTAGACTGCATGTTGGAAAAAAGGACAGGCCACGTGTCCCTGAGTTATATGGCAGCCTCATGGAAATGATTGCTATTTTTACATGCCCATGTGCATAGAGCAAAATAGTGACCACTTCCATGAAACCAGCATGTGGCATAGAGACATGTTGTCCCATTTTGCTTAGTACAATCTCCACATGAGCACGCCAGACTGACAGATGCTTCTGCTAGGCCACCATCCAGCCCAGGAACAAACTGCTCCATTTTATTGCCATAATGTGATTTTCATAGAGCTGCAGAAAGCTGCTTGAGTTAAAACCATGAAATATGCAATCAAATATATGAATTCCACTGGTATAATATGTCATTGGATGTTATTCTATCAAGCATCTACAAAGCTAATGAATAATCCGGCTGCTGCAGTCTATCACATCAACAGCTACTTTTTTTTATTAAATAATTTTTCCTGAGGATTTAATGGATAGTATTTTAGAGTTTATTAAGTGAAAATTAAAAAGCATTTGCTTACTTCAAATTTTTCAGGCACATTTAGTTTAGGAGAAGGAACTCCAACAAGATAATCGATGCAAACCATAATCACTATTGTCAAAAATATAGCAAAATCACTTATTGTAGATCGTACCTAAAAAAAGAAAGAAGCATAAAAGCACTTTGACATTTCAAATACTTATGTGCAATGAAATAGTTCTGAAGTACAATAACATTTATAATTATTCAGACTCTGTAATATGCTCTAACATCTTAATTTTAGAATATTTTAAAATAGGAGTCACCTGCTAATGAAAAAAAATTCTTCATGAATAAATCTAAATGTTAAAGCAAAATCTTGTAAAATAATTTATTTAACAATTTAAAAACCTATGTCAACAATTAAAGTATTTCTCCTTATTTTACAATGCATAATGAAAATACTCAATACACAGAATTTAAAAACTAGATAGCAAGCTATGCTCATTGTCATCAGCAATTTTTCTGCCTAATTAAATGTAATTTAGCATTGTTCCAATTCATCATTTCTCAAACTTTAATCAGGTTAACAATGATCAATTTAATGCTTCACTTTAATGTTAATTAAAAAATACTAGCAATGTATTTCATATTTATTAGCCTTTAAAAAACTTTTGTTACAATTGTTCAAGTTCAGCTCTAATAATTTATCATCATAATATAACATGAGTTGCTAACTGTGCACTTGTTTAAGCTAAAAGCTGTGCTATTTCAAATTGTATGTATCGTACCATATCATTCATATCACAATAAATATTGCAGAAAATGATACTGAATCAGGTAGCAGTCTAAAACAGTGATCCCCAACCCCCGGTCCGCGGACCGGTGCCGGGCCGTGGAGTANTGTAACCAAACAACATGCTGCATGTGATGATGGTTTTTTTTCTTTTTTTTCTTTTTTCCTTTTTTTTTAAAACCTTAGGTTATTGTGGTGTCTATTAAATATACAACAGAGAGATACGGGGTGTGTGTAGGGGGGGAAACGTAGTAGGGATGCACCTGTAATCAAATGACATATTGTATGGGATGATGGGGGTTTTTTTCCTTTTTTGTGTGTGTGGGTTTTTTTTTCTTTTCCCTTTGCCTTTCTTTTTCTATTGTTATGTGATTATGTTGTCTATGTAATAAAAAATAAAATAAAATTGGGGAAAAAAAGCAGAAATCCACCTATAAATATGGACAGGCACAGCTTGCTGAATCAGCCAACAATTTTACATTTACATCACAATTCAGCTCAACACGAGGCTGTGCAAATGATTTGTAAGAAGCATAAGCAAAACATGTGAACATAAATAAAACATTTATCATTTTGTTCCTCAAAATGTTAAAATAACACTTCTTTGAAAGACTTTTGCAGCTATAATGAAGGAGGTACACAACAATACACGCATGCGTATATGCATAGACAATATTTATGCTGGGACTGGTCATTTCCAAGTTTCTGCCTAAAATATAATTCTGTTGCCCCTCCCTACAACATCAATATTTCATTTACAATACTTTCCAGTTAAATTCCTTTACCAGTTTTTAAACAGTTTTTACAAAAAATAGTCCTTTTGAATGGTAGCCTTAGCACTCTTTGGTTGATCTCAACAAACTAAGAAGGGTTGGATGTCGTTATCAGTGTGAGGCCAAGAGAAAATTACTTAGCTGTATACAGTACTAGCTTGGGAAGTTAAAAAAAGGCAATAGAAAAAAAGACAATATTGGAAAAAGGCAATAACAAACAGATACCAAGAAAAGATACATGCCCATGCAATCACCAAAGTCAAATCTTTTTCCCATGAAACTTTCCAAGAATAAATGATCTATATTATAAATAAATTATATTATAAATAATCTGTCTATTACAAAGTATTTAGATGACTACAAAATTTTGACTTGTATGTTTCCTTCATATAGAAAATCACTGCAATACTGTAATTATTTCTAATGTAAGTTAACTGTTTCATTGGTAAATGAATAAACAAAACAAATATTCACCTTGAGTTTATGCTCTTTTCTGTTTATGATAACTGCTGTAATTTGTTGATCCATAAAAATAAGGATGGTACAAAGCAAAGCAGGAACTGCAGCAACTACTAGGGTCCACCAAGGATTACTCCCTAGAGGATTGATAAGCCATCCACGATCACTCCGTGTAGGCTAAAATAAAACATAAACATACAGCTACCCAAAGGAACAGATATTTTTCATTATTTATAAGAGAAACACTATAAATACCTGGGTACAGATTATAATAAAAGCAATTTTAAATTTAAAAGATTAAATTTTGAAAAAATATGCTTTTCATATAAAATCCAATTAATACAAAAATACAACATTAGTTTAAACAAAATTGCTTAATTTGGCGTGATCACAAAGCATTATCATACTTCAGTGGTTCCCAAACTTTACTTTTTTAGCATCTGTTATATCACTATTAAAGCTTTGCTGAACCACCAAATAAGCAAGCTATTTAACAAATTTTAATTATAGCCTATGGCTGTCAGGAATCAAACATATGTACCAGTGATGACGAACCTTTTAGAGACCAAATGCCCGAACTGCAACCCAAAACCCACTTATTTATCACAAAGTGCCAACACTGCAATTTAAACTGAATACTGAGGTTTTACTACCTAAAATAATAAGGCAGAGGGCAGCTAATTGTTCTAAGAAAAATGTAATAAATGCACTTTCATGCCTCTTCATTTTTTCCTGCTTTTGAAATATTACATTCAGTAACAATAAAAAAGAAAGAATACTTTTGTAATATAATTTCTTGATTTTTCTTATCCCAACTTTCTCTGTATATTTTTATTTCTTTTCTTGTTAAAATAAAATAGTTTTAATTTCTATTATTGAAAGAGACATTGCCTTCCTCATAACTAAATACCCATCAATTATTTATCTGGAAGAAAACTACATCACCATAAAATGTCCTGTCCAGGAAAGAAGAGAGGATAGTCTTAGCCTACATACTTTTGGTTATAAGCCAAAAAGGGCAAAGCTATGGGTACATGGCCTGTATCTTGCAGAAAAAGACAAAGTTAGGGATGCTTTGAATCCACGGTATGGAGATCAAATAGCTTTTTTTCTTCTGCTTCTTTGTCTGATGAGTGGTTCCAATAAAGAAATATGTCCTCCCCCCAAATCTTTGTCCCAAGGAATCTGCAAATACTATGACTGTCCAGGGCTGAAAAATACAACATGAGTAGTTACTGATTTATACTCTTCGCTTCTCCACCTATGCTCTGTCGCCACCACCACTGTGGCTTGTTTAGCAGGGGTGGCCTTGGCTATAGTGTGCAGCTTTGTTGGTTTTTTGTCCACTGCAATCCGGGAGAGAAAGAAAGATGGCACAACAGGGCTCTTTTGTTCACCACCGACGGAGCCATTGACTGACCAACCCAATCAAAGCTGATCCCAATGTAGGGGAGACTGCAGAGTTGGCCAAGCAAATTATCTCCCCCCCCCCTATCAAAGTGGATTCTGGGCACTGTGCTGCAATGTAGAAACAGGAAATGAAATGGCCAGCATGAGGGAAGGAGGGGGAGCAGGGAGAAGAGACGGAAAGTGGCCTCCTTCTTACCTTGTACCGGGTGCTCTGTTGCCCACTTTGCCATTGCAGCATTGCTCCATAGAGCTTGCCCCACCCACCACCACTGCCCAGATGTCCTCACTTCCCCCAATCACTTTTTTGCCTATCTGATTTCCAGCTTCTTCATATTTCTCTGTCACATTTCTCGCCATCATAGTTTTTTTTTAGTTCCATGAACTTTTGTTTTCCTGCAAACAATGGCGAGAAACGTAATGGAGAAACATTATGAAGCTGGGCTGGCATGGCAGAGAGGGCTCTGAGTGCCACCTATGGCATGTGTGCCATAGGTTCACCACAACTGATATATACCAAGAAGCAATTAAAAACAGATACTTTTAAATAAATAAAAATATAGTTATATAAATGTACAAGTAACCTTTGAGACATGAGAGTAATAGAGTTGGTGGTGACAGTTGTTAAGCAAATTGGCCTCACTTAGCAACCTGCACACATCCTATTTTCCTTTATGTGATTGTTAAATAAACATGCAGTTGTTAAGCAGAGCATGGGATGCTTCAGGGGTGGATAAGGCCATTAAAGGCCTAGAACAGGCTAAGGCCCATCTATCCCAAGCCTCCAAAAGCCTCCAATACCCAATATATCCTGTGCTCTGCTTCCTGCTCCTTGGATCCCCACAGAACTTTTCCCCCTTGTATAAGGTGACCAGACTTTCAGATTGGTAAAGAGGGACCCCTTTGCCGGGGGGGGGGGGGAGGCTTGATTAAAAATTTTATACGGAAAAATTATATAGAAAAATTATGG